CCTTCTTGATGAAATAAGACTTCGTAAATACCTACGAGTCCTTGGGGGTTGACATCAGTCCCCCAAAAAATACCTTAGAAGTGTGTCACAGTTATGAGCCATGATATGCCCCAATGGTAGGAAAAGTCATGGAAAAAATATAATGATACAGGTCAACAAATAACTTGAACATGTAGATATGTACTCTTCCCTCACAATTGTACTCCTCTATTTATGTTATAGTAGCACCCTCATTGTGAACATCATCTTGGTATGTTGTGTCAAGCTGACATTTAAGTATGAGCATATCTTTAGATACTTTGAAGGTGTGCCCTTGCAAATAAAACTGCAAAGGAGTTGTATAGGGACAAAATATAAAAGAGTTAGGAAAAAAAAAGTTAAAAAAAGGAAAGTATAAAAAGAGGAAAAACAAAAAGAGTAAAGAAAAATGAATAAAAATCAATAAGTGGACAATTCACAACATGTGTTGTATAAATAGATACAATTAGAAAAACTGTTTGGCTGTCAAAAGATTTCCTTGGACTTGGATATGAAAAAAATACACGAGGAGTAGTTGTTGATAAATTGGAGGAGTATGGGTGGTGTAAGAGGAGCAACCAATTTGGGTAAATTTTAGAAAATCCTTTGAAAATGACTTTTAGGAAAAGATTGTCTTAATTCGACAAAAAAAAACTAGGTTCAGTCACTGTTAAAATTTTTGAAAATAAAAATCCGTTGAGTATGTTTTTATGACATATCTTCTACATAGAAATAGGACCACCTCTCGTTCCATTTGGTAACTAAATATCGATAACCTTGAAGAAGTGTTTTTAACTTTTGATTTTGTTGGGTTGTGTTAAGGAATAACTAAATATCAATCTTGAAATGCATAATCTTTTGATTAGGCTAAGTTAATTGAAGGCATGTAGCATGTTTGTATATTCCTAATTGTTTTGACACAAATAGGGTTAGTGGATTGGATTGGATCACTTTTATTTTGTGTTGATTATTGCATTGTTTCTTAAAAATCTAAGCATTTTGCATGCATATTTGTTAGTGTAGATTTTTATTGCATGCATGCCCTCTAAGTATCTTTGGCTCTTTTGGTTCTTTTTTCTTATTTTCCTCTTAGCCACTTGTCATCCTCTCTAGGTTTCTCTTTATCTAGTTCTTTCTTAAGGACAAGAAAGGTTTAACTTTGGGAGATTTGTTAAGAGCATTTTTATGAATATTTTTCCATATTTTCTACGATTAATTTCAATTTCATTTCATGCATTTATTTCATACATTGAATATCATTTTATGGAAAACATACTTTGGTGGCACACAATCTATTTTGGGTGTATTTTGGCTGTTTTTGTAGGTTTGGAGCGATTGCGGGTTGATTTTGGATGCTAAAGGAAGACCGAGTGATGATTTTGGACATTGAAATTGAAGTTGGAAAATGCAAGACAACAGTCGTGTTGAGGCGGATTTTTGGAGGATTTTTGTGGACCACATGACCATGTTGTTTTTAGCCTATCCAATCACACGACCGTGTCTCCCCAAAAACTTCTTGTAACCACCTCCATTAAACACGGTTTTTGGGTCATTTTAACCACACACTTCACCATGGGGGCGATTTTCTGGCACATTTTGAAGGAGAATTCATCTATTTCAAGTGAATAACATTAATTTCTTTTTATTGTAAGTTTGATTTTACATTTATCTCTTAGACTACTTGACGATTTAGTCGTTATGTAGGTTAAATATTACCAATTACAACATTATGGTTTATCTTTTGAAGTATGATTCAAAAATTTATATGAAGTAATTATATTAGATCTTCTTGAATGTTTTGTTTGTATGTTTTCTTGTATTCAACTCCAGATTATTTTGGAAACATTTTAGATTATTAACGAAATTGATCAATTTATTAATTTTCTACTAACGATCTTGGGAACAATTAATGGTGTTGTTTTTATCTATGAATTCAATTCAGTCATATATTCATACACTATAATTAAAACATTCTGAATGGTGTCAATGGTTTATTATATTTGACACTTCCATCATTATCATTGCAATTTGCACCCTAACATCAGAACTGCTAGAACTTACTGCTACATATTATGTTTAATCAATGAAGTATATTTGGTTAAATACGAACATGGAAGATTATTAGAACGGCTAAACAATACATGTCAGTATAACTATTTTATTTATAAGATCATTGCACAATAATTATTGATATAATTATTGATGATCATAACTTGAATTATAACAATAGATAAACCTTGTGTTGGAATGATTTTTATTATTTGAATTTATTTTTAATATGCTTCATGCTAGTTGTAGTTGTTTTTAAAAACAAACCCCTTAGATTTTTATTTTTTATTTTTAATATTTTTATGTAACAATCATACTTGTAATTGAACATCTTTAGTATAATTTGTTAATCCATTTCCGTGAGGGCACGGACCTTACTTCCGTTCATAGTAATCCTTAGTGTGTCTAAGTTGATTCATATTTTATCATATTTTGATAATTTATTTTGTTGGATTCAACACCCAACATATTACCCAACCTATAATGTCATTTAAGTTTAGAGACAAAACACACTATAAAATAAGAATTATTCTTACATGAATTATTATAGGTATGATCAAGATAGTAATGACTATCGACCTCACTACCAGACATACTATCCTTTTTTACTATTAATTCTAAAAACACACTTAATTAGTTTTATCAACTAACACATATAAAACCTACTATCTTTAGCAACCTCATGAGTGTGGACAATAAATTCACATCAAAACAAGGAACAGCTAGATAGAGTGATAGCATCAGAACATTTCAAATTTCATACATTATATTCTTTATTTTTAAATATCCATTTGGATGATCAATTCTAAGATTTAGGTTAAAAATACCCACCACGTCTAAAAGTGAGTTATCACTGTCATGTGTTGATTAACACTATATCAAAACCCCATTTTCAACACTTACTAAATGGAACAATTATAATACTTACCATATTATCGGAAATCTCATTCCTATTAAGTATTCTTATTCATCAAATTACGAAGTTTATGAAATTTGATCACTATTAAAAAAACCTAGTATATGGATTAGGGCACCAAGGTTACCAAAAATGTTATGTTTTCATTTTGACTAAATTTTTTAAATTTGGAGTTGTTTGGTTCCTCTCAATAAACTTATATGTATTATTATCCTTACCAATAAATGTGTAATTTCCCCTTTTTGACAATATGAAATAATACAACTAGATTTATAGGGCTTCTTATGGGATTCATTTGAGAAAGCAACCTTGGCACTTGAGAAATCCCTCATGAGAATATTGCTTCTACTAGGACATTATAAGTTATTTAATTTCATAAAAAGTTACATCAATTTATTAATTTCCTGATTATGATTACAAAGCTCTTAGAAGCATCACACACACACACACAAGTTCCTAGATTAGTTAATGTATCAAAGTCTTTCAATAGTACGTTAATTTTGTTAGAGCACTCAAAAGGATTTTGACAATTTTCGATTAACTAATAATTTTTTTGATACAAATTAAAGATAACTGACAAATCAATATCTTCATATGTCGTGTTGAGTTCTTTCTAGGGATAAAAAGAGCTAACAAAATATGCTTGACACGCATAAAGTTCCTTTGAAAAAACATCTAAGATCTAATTTAAAACAACATCAACCCTTTCTTGTTGATTAACTTTGATTTCATCATATTTAGGATTTACAAACTTTCCATGTTAGATTAGAACTTTATAAGAGTTTTGGTCGTGGAACATAGAGGCACTCTAAACCCTACATGCTTTAGTAATAGTAAGTTCAAAATTGATGATGGACCATTATCACTAGGTTGAAGGCATAAATGATCATTAGCTTTATCAAACACAACCACAATAGACACTTACTTGATTGCTAAAGAAACAATTTCATTAATGGCCATTTTAGCAAATTAACATATATACATATAGCAATTAGGAAATAAGACTAATATGAAACAAAAGTACAACTAGGATTCTAAACCAATAAAATGGTAAGCCAAACTGAAAAAAGTGGTTAATGATGCACAAAAAAAAAAAAAAAAAAAAAAAGAACCAGAATAACACTTAAATGCTTACCCAAGAATGATCTCCATCATAGGCCAACGAATTTATAATTCTCTAGTAAGATATGTAATCCTTTACTAAAGATATGAGTATGCGAAGATACTTACAAAATTCCCACATTATGACACATAATACATACAAGCTAACAACAATAAACTATTAAGGAAGCATAAAAGACTTACATAGCAATCTATAGATTTTTTTTGCATATTACCATAATCAAACCAAACAAAAACACCATGATGAATTCAATGGAAAGATAGGAAAATAAGACTTTACCAAGAGTTTGAGAGAGATGTTTGTTATCACTTCCTCTAGATGCATATACAATAGGAAACATAGAGACACAAAGAAATGCTCTATTTCGTCAACCTTCTTACAAAACTAGACCATACACAACAAAAAAAGGCACCTTTAGGGACGACAAAAAGCATCGCTAATAGTCAAGAAAGTCGCCCCTAAAGGTATTAGGGACGACTTGTCGTCTTAATTCGGTCGCCTCAAATATCTCGTAACTAATACTCCAAAGTTGTCCCTAAAGGCGTCGTCTCTAATACTTATCGTCGCTAATACTACTCGTTGTCCCTAAAGGTGTCGTCCCTAATAATATTCCGGCTACCGACCAATATTATTCCGGCCAAATATTCCGGCGAGATGTGTCGTCGCTAATGCTTAAGATTATCCCTAACGGTGTCGCCACTAATGATTGTTTTTTTAGATAAAATTTATATTTTATATTAGTTTATAATATAAAAACGCAGAATTTATAAAATTATAAAACATATAATTTAAAAATCTGAATTACATAAAACATCAAATAACATAAACAAAGTATATCACATTAACATCATCTAAATCTATAATAACATCATCCATAACATAAAACAATATATACTAATCGTCTTCCCCATCATCGTTTTCATCGTTGTTGTTGGTCGCATTGTCGACTTGTTTGCTAAATGAGCGCATAATATCTTCAATTACCGTCATAAACGTCGGGTTTTGGAGAAAAACATTAACATTCACATCCTACAAAGTAAGAATACAAATTAAAATATATCATACTATAAAAACAAATTATTCTTACTTAACAATTAAGTCACCCTACAAAAGTTTTATGCGGTTCTTTTTTCTATTATTCATACATATTATTTATGAGCAAAAAGTTGTTATTTAAAAATGTTGCACTGATGTTATCTTTACATTTGATTTTTAGTTTATTTGTAAGAATATTTTATATTATTGAAATTTAAATAATATATACTCTTATGTAGTTGCATTGATGTTATGTTTACACTCATTTTATCTAAAATCAAACTATATACATACTTGTAATTATAACATCATATATACACTAAATTAATATACAATTAAACACAGTTTCTCAAAACAAATTTTCAAATGCACATACATACATAGGCATACACTTACCAAATAGACATATATACATACCAATTCAATACCAAATACAAAATACCAATTATACATATACAAATACACATATACAAAATACCAAATAGACATATACACATTCCAAACATACCAAATAGACATATACATATTCCAAACATACATATACATATACACATATAGACACATATATATCAAACACTTTTTCTTGAAATACATTTTCAAATAGACATAAACATATATCAAATTCCTTATACAAAATAAACTTGTAAACATATATCAAATTCATACATACACATATACACAAAAATTGAACGTACCTGTGGTTGTAGAGCTGAAAACAGTGGAGCCAGTGGAGAAGTTCGTCGGAGACGGTGGATATCGCCGGAGACAGTTGACATCGATGGAGACAGACGGCAACAGTGGCGTTGATGTGGTGGTTCTAAAAGTTGAAGATTAGAGAAATCTCCTGAAAACCACCAAAATCAACAAAATTAGAGAAGAAAGAAAGAGAAAGAGAAAAGACGGTGGAAATGAAAAAGGGAAACGCACCTTAGCCGGTGGAGAAGTTCGTCGGAAACTGTGGCGAGCTGAGGTGGTGATAGTCGCCGGTGGAGCAACTGAAACCCGGTAAGAAGCTGCAAATCCCTCCGGCGGAAGAAGTGGGATGCACTGAAATTCACCGGAAAATGCTTCGTGATTGTCGCCGGAAAAAATGAGAGAGAAATGGAAACTGGAAATTAATCAGATTCTACGACCTGATGGGGAACAAAAGGTGGAACCCTTTAGGGGCGACACCTTTAGGGACGACTATGAATCATTAGAGACGACAAATCGGAGGGAAATTCACGCGTTCACTACAAGAAGATTGGGCAACAGCGGCGACACGCGTCGCCGCTAAAGGTTAGGACTGTCGCCGCTAATACCTTTAGCGGCGACGTGTCGCTGCAAATACGTCGCCGGTATAGATTCGTCGCTAATACGCTCATTGGCGCCGCAAATACTTGGTGTCGCCGCTAATACTCCTGTCGTCGCTAATGCTGCTCGTCGCCGCTAATATGTTGTCGCCGCTAATAAGACGCCGTCGCCACTATTCCCGTCGCTGCTAATGCTCTTTTGATTTATTTTTTTTTTGTTTATTTATTTCCCATTAAATTTATAATCAATCCAAATCCAAATATTAATCTAATAATTTTATATAGAAATATTAATACATAAAATCAATCCAAAATATTAATACATAAAATCAATCCAAAATATTAATCCATATATATACCACATTTAGTATTGTTTCGAATTACAAAACGTTTCATAAAATCCTAAAATAACTACTCGTCCTCATCATCATCTTCATTATTTTGTGGCGGCAATGAGCGAAACCACTCTTCCAATACTGCAGAACAAGCCGGGTCCTGTAGTATTGTTTGCAACATTTGCAACTATAAAAAAACAAAATATATTAACAATATATCAGAATAACATTATAATTAATTATACCAATCCATTATAGCATTTACTAACAATTACCTGTGATTGTGGTTGTTCTTGTGTCATTGGTTGTTGTTGATCGTACATAGACACAACGGTAGGGGGTTTACGCCCAATGCCTCTGATATGTCCGCGTCGAACACCCAATATTCTTTCAAAACAATCTTTTATATCAGTTGGTGCTAGACCGCTTGCCTCAGAAGTAGCTTGGGTTCGTTGGTTTATCTCTTCGAGTAAAGCATTCTATATTTTTTAAAAACAATAAAAATCATAAAAATTAGATTACTAAATACCTTTGACAATATAAACACTTATATGAAAAATACAAATTAACCACTTACGTATTGTTGCTCGACTGCAGGACTATAAAATACCCCTTGGCGATTGGAATTAGCTTTATGAAAAGTTTCGATTCGACTGATATCCTATTTAACATTAAAATTTAGATTAGTTATACTTTAAATAAATATTTAAATATATCATAACTTACCTCTTTAAAACATGCATTGCTATATGAGCTCGACCCCCCTCTATTTACAACTACTTGTTTTGCACGACATTCCTTGTTTGACGCCGAACGCCTTAAAAATTCTGGCGTTTGAAAATGTTCGACTGCCTTCGCCCAATTTTCATGTGACATTCCGTTAGGGGGGTTGTTTAATGCAGCTTGGATATCTGCAGGCCCCCCGATTTCCTTAAAATAAGCATGAGCTTTACTTTTTCGACCTCTGTAAACTTTTGCAAGACTTGAATCAATGCTCTGCAACAATTGAGCACGCTCCGGATCCATGTTAACCTTATCCAAATCAAATTTATTCTGCAAAACACAAAAAGTTTAGTTAATTAAATAACAATCACAACTAAAATTAAAATTGTATCCAAGTTACCTTTAGATGAACAACTGCTGCGTTCCTTAAAGCGGGGGAAACATTGTCCCAACCAGATACGTTGAAAGGGACATTGTTCCACAAATACCTCCCAATTTCATGGGTGAACGAATTACCACGCTTCCCGACAGGGGAATATGTGATCTCCCTGTCGAAATCCAAATCTATGGGCTTTCCCTTATTTGCCCTTATCAACTTTCCCAACTCAATATTTTTTGACATGCCTCTCCTTTTTTTAGGAAGCTCGGCTGCAAAAATACAATTAAACCTATTAGTCATGATAACTTATTATAAAATAATAAAAATAGTTAATAAATATATCAGAATAAAACTCACCATCTTGTTCGTGCTGACCACGACCAAAGCCTCCTGGAGGTGGTGGATCCCCGGCTCCATCACCTCCGTGTCCAAGCCCCATAACATCGGCCATCTTGGCCAAGAGTATTGCCCAAGTAAACCTCATCTGCAATATGAATAAAAGTTAGTTACCCTGCGAAATTGTAAGATATACAATATAGACAAACAACATAAATAAGACTTAAACAAACAATATGAATTAAAGTTACATTTCAAATAAAGTTTCTATTACCAAAAAAAATTGATTTTTTAATCAGAATCTTGATCATATAATTCAATGTCTTCTTCATCCGTATCATAATCAGAATCGCCATCATCATAATCAGTCTCTTCATCGGAAACATTATCGATTCTACCCGTTGGCGGAGGTACTTCAGTCTCGTCTTCATCATCATAATCAGCATTGTTTTGAGCTACATCAACATTGTTTTGAAAGTATTGTGAGAAGTCAATAAAAAGTCTAGCTCCAGATGAAGAGTTGTTTAAAGTTTTAATGACCTACATTAAGTCACTAAAAGTATGTTGCTATTAAGTTGGTTTTATAAGTGATTTAATTTGATTTTATAAAGGTAACTTAATTTGATTCTAAAATTAAATTAACTAGATTTTATAATTAATTTAATATTTTCTTTTTTGTTATTAGTTTAATTTATTTATTAAACTAATTTTATTTTATTTTAATATTAACATTAACTTGATTTAAAAACTACTTTAAGTTGATTTTACAATTAATTTATTATTTTTTAATGTTTTTTTAAAATTAATTTAATTTTATTCTATTTAAATTAAAATTACAAGAAGTACGTTGCTATTAAGTTAGTTTTCTAATTAATATAATTTGATTTTACAAATGTAACTTAATTTGATTCTAAAAGTAAATTAATTAGATTTTATAATTAATTTAATATTTTCTTTTTTGTTATTAGTTTAATTTATTTATTAAACTAATTTTATTTTATTTTAATATTAACATTAACTTGATTTAAAAACTACTTTAAGTTGATTTTATAATTAATTTATTATTTTTTAATGTTTTTTTAAAATTAATTTAATTTAATTCTATTTAAATTAAAATTACAAGAAGTACGTTGCTATTAAGTTAGTTTTATAATTAATATAATTTGATTTTACAAATGTAACTTAATTTGATTCTAAAAGTAAATTAATTAGATTTTATAATTAATTTAATATTTTCTTTTTTGTTATTAGTTTAATTTATTTATTAAACTAATTTTATTTTATTTTAATATTAACATTAACTTGATTTTAAAACTACTTTAAGTTGATTTTACAATTGATTTATTATTTTTTAATGTTTTTTTTTAAATTAATTTAATTTTATTCTATTTAAATTAAAATCACAAGAAGTACGTTGCTATTAAGTTAGTTTTATAATTAATATAATTAAAGCTAAAGTTGTAATGACCAACATTAAGTCACTAAAAGTATGTTCCTATTAAGTTGGCCAAACATTAAGTCACTAATAAATTAAACACTTTGAAACCATATACAATACATTACTAGAATTAAGTTGCTATTAATAACCTAATTAAGCCAAATGTATACATCCAATTTGCATATTTCAATTTCATCCAATTTCATACAATTAAGTTAAATGTATATATCCAATTTCATACAATTTGCATATTCCAATTTAATCCAATTTGCATATTCCAATTTCATACACTTAAGTCAAATGTATACATCTAATTTGCATATTCCAATTTCATCCAATTTCATACAAATATAAACATCTAACTTTCATTTTAAGGCAATGTGGTATAAACATAAATTTCAATCCAACAAATGTATATATTCATGTCATTTTTTTATACATCAATCTAATCTAAACATAAATATCAAAATATACACAAAATGCATAATTAAATTCCTACAAATCTGAAAAAAAAAAAACACACACAAACCAACAAAATATTTCAACAAAATATATACAATCAAACAAAATTATCCAATAAAATGCATAATTAACCACTTTATATCTCAAAATACAAACATAATCACTCAATATAATTGAAAAATGCTCACATTTTATCATCTTAAGTAACACAAAAACAGAAAAATCATAGAAAAAGATGAGAAATTCGACCTTGGGGAAGGAGGGGCAATTTCGGAATTTGCAAAACTATCACCGGTTTATGGCTGTCTTGGGGGAATGAGGGGCAAGCACCGGTCCAAGAAGCAATTCCAACTCCACAAACTTGTTAAAAAAGCGTGATATTGAAGAAAGAAGAAGAGGAGAACGAGAGAAGTGGAAGTAGAGAAGAAAATGGCAGAAAGGGAACCTGTGAAGGGGGTAATCTGCGTTAGGTATTAGCGGCGACGGGTATTAGCGGCGACGTTAGGGCAACAGCGGCGACATAAGGGCATTAGCGGCGACATGTGGAGGGAAAAGATAAGGCGCGTCTCCGCTTTGCTCTACAGCCGTTAGATCAAAGTGAAATCGGACGGATGGGGTCAAAACGACGCGGATCGCTAAATGAACGCATTAGCGGCGACGCCTATAGCGGCGACGCATAGCAATAGCGGTGACACGTAACGCGTCATTTACGTGTCGCCGCTATTGCTATGCGTCGCCGCTATAGGCGTCGCCGCTAATGCGTTTATTTCTTGTAGTGGTTCATATTTTCGCCACCTTTAGCGGCGACAGCGCCGTCACAAATGGTGTCGCCCCTATTGGTGTGAACAGTAACTAACCCCATCCGTTGGATTAGGATGCAATCGTAGGGAGAAAATTTGATCTATGAAACATTCACGCGGATCGCCAATCAAACCCTTTAGTGACGCCCTTATTAGCGACGACGCGAGGCTTTAGCGACGATAAGAACGCGTATGGTTGAGTGTCGTCCCTAAAACTTCGTGTCGTCCCTAAAGATTACATTTCTTGTTGTGATATACAAAGCACTACACCTTAACATAGAAAAAAATTAGATGTCAAAACCCGAAACCTCCTAAAGAAAATAAAGAAGATCTGTTTAAAAAAAGATCTCAACGATCTACTATCATAATGTTATCATATTGAGAGACAAAAGAGATCTATATTGAAAAATATTTTAAGAACCCAATGGATGAGCAAACCCTAATCATAGATAGAAAGAATTTGAGAACAACATAGAATGAAACAAAAAATGGTCCAAAGTCTCAAAATAAGTAAAAACGATCTCCCCGAGAATGAAAATAGTTAAAAACACCCTAATAAAAATACATATATGATTCAAACAAATGGAAATCAAACACTATATCCGCAAAAACTTACAATGATATACGATGATCTACAATAATATAAAGAGAAGAAAAGAATTTATACTAATGAAAAAACAATTAAGAAACTCTAATAAATGAACATTCTCTGATTAATAAAATCTCATACAAATAAGAACTTGACTCTAGATCTATGATAAAATTATTAAGTAAACAAGAGAAAATATACTTGTCATATTTTTCAAGAACCATAAAACATTAAGGATGATCACAACTTCAACATGAGTTCAATCGATTTTACAATAACTTGATTTAAGCTTAAGATATGAACGAGAACTTGCACAACTTAAACATATATTTCAATAGAAACTTATCTATTAAAAATTGAAATGAATTTTAATTGAATTACTATTCCTTACAAATCAACTAAAGATTATAATCTTGATAGGTTTTTTTTGTTTGTTTTTAATTTACTTTAAAAGTGTTTGGGTGCACCAACAAGTGGTTTCTCTCTTTAGATTACATTCAAATCATTATCCTTTGATTTTTAAGGACTTGTCCATTGTATGGCTTAACACCTTATTGTCGTTCAAGTCATGGATTTGATTGGATGATTTTACATAGGAGAGTAAGAAGGGGTGAAATTTGATTATCTAAATTATCATTGCAATGATATGATAAACTCGATGAATCCTAGAATCTCTACTATAAATCTGAAACTAAAAATTACGTCAAAATATATATCTTTGCTATACATTTTTTCGTTATCTTATGAGTTTGGTGCGTTTTTTTTCCTAAAATAGCCATAGTTCTTTCATATATTTAATTGTTTCTCTAACACATCACTCTCCATGGCCTCCTTCAGTTGTTTCTATCACTACACAACATTTTTTTTCCTATCTCTTATCTTCTTCCTCTAACTCACATCTCCCTTGCAGAATTTATATCTTCATCTCTTTCCCTCCATTCTTGAAAACTATTGAGGTTTCATCTCTCTCTCTCTCTCTCTCTCTCTCTCTCTCTCTCTCTCTCTCTCTCTCTCTCTCTCTCTCTCTCTCTCTCTCTCTCTCTCTCTCTCTCTCTCTCTCTCTCTCTCTCTCTCTCTCACTCATTAAACAACTATGTTTCTATATCGAAAGGGTTTTTAAAATATAGGTAAAAGATGGCTCTAGAAGAATGTCACATCTCTGAGGGGTTCAAGAACATGTCACAAGCTAGTGATGGCGGAGGAAATGATTTGACGAAAGGACTATGGACTCCCCAAGAGGATGCACTACTGGTAAAATATGTAACGGAAAATGGCGAAAGGAGATGGAATGATGTTTCGAAAAAGTTTGGGTTAATGAGATGTGGGAACAGTTGTAGGCTTCGATGGTTTAACCATTTAAGGTCTAATCTCAAGAAAGAAGATTTTACTCCTGAAGAAGAAAACATCATCTTAAAGCTTCATGCAAAATATGGCAACAGATGGTCACATCTTGCTCGTCATGTACATTTCTCTCCCCTTTTCTCTCTTTGACAAGAACAATAGTGACAATAGAAAACTTCCTTATGATTTTAGGCTAATATTTGAAATAATTTCATTAGCTTCAAAAATTGAATTTTTTCCATTGCAATGTCACCACTTGCTTACAAGCGTTATTATTTATTGGTAACAAATTTTGAAGATCTCTGAAAAGTTCTAATGAAGGTTTTTTTATGTAGTTACATATGATCTTAACTTAATTTTTAATTTTTTTTATATGCACAAATTAATAATTAACAACCGTTTGACCGATTAATATTTTTAATATTTAAACAGTAGTATAAAATAATACATTTTTTAATTAGTAAGAATGTTATTATTTAAAGTTAAATATATATCGCATATTTAAGTAATTTTGACAACTTCAAGGTCTTGTTTTGTATTCTATATATAGCAAAGAAATTTCAAAATTAGTCAAAGAATAAAAGAGAAAAGTTTCACGTTTTTCATGTGACTTAGCTTATTTTTAGAAAATTGTAGATTTTTTAATATATAAGATTATTTTAATATCTTATTCGGATCCAATAAGAAAGAAACTTTTGGTTGGAAAGTAATTTTTTTCTACATATTTTTTGTCGAATAAGAAGTAAAATTATTCGATAAATCAAAAATAAAATGATTCAAAAAAAATCTCAAAAAATATCTTAATAATTTATTTTTCCGATGATTTTATTGGTATTCATAAAATTGTCATAAAAATGATTTTTCTTCTTTATATAACGAAAAATAAATTTTTAATTTTTTTTCTTGTAAGGTATCTTACCTTTGATTCTTTTAATCATTCATTTTGTTGTTTGGATAAAAAAATATACATATAATTTTTTTATCTTCTTAACAAAAGTTTAATTCTTATTTGATCCGGATTTTATATATATATATATATATATATATATATATATATATATATATATATATATATATATATATATATATATATATATATATATATATATAATATATATATGCAAGTTTTTTCGAAAACAAAGATTTATGAAAACTCATGATCTATTCATTTTTTTAAAATAAAAATCACCCACGGACTTCCATACCAACAATTAAGACAGATCCACGGTAAAAAAAAAAAAAAAGATTTGATAATTTTTTGTCCGTTTTTTTTTTTTTTTTTTTGAAATGTGGATGTATGCACAATCAACAGTTATATAGACTGCAAATGTGTATAATTAACAGTTATATAGACTGCTGATGAACATAATCAACAGTTATATAAAGGGATATCTTCAGAAAGTTCCGATATTTTGGGCAAATTTTTAATAAAGTCCTAAATTTTATTTTTTGAATAAAAAAGTCCTAACTTTTTCACCTTTTGAATAGAAAAGCCCAAGAAACTGACTAATTTATTCACTTTAGTCATTTTTGACCTGTTCAGCAGATCATCAAACCAAATTGTTAATTTTTCGAAAATAAAAGGACTTTTTTGCAGATTTCGTCAAAATTTTTATATATTGTATAAACATATTTTTAACATATCTATATCTATTTTTACGTATTTTTGTATTTTTTATATTTTTATAAGTATATATATTTACGTATTTTTATGTATTTTAAATGTATAAACGTTTTTTTTTTACTTATATATATATATATATATATATATATATATATATATATATGTATTTTAACCATTTTACATATTTTTTTATGTACTTTTAAGTGTTATTTTTTTTATATATTATGTATTTATATGTATTTTTATATATTTTAAAAACTTTTTATATAGATGTTTATGTATTTTAAGTGTATAAACGTATTTTTTACGTATTTATATCTATTTTTAAGTATTTTACATATCTTTTATGTATTATGTATTTGTATACTTTTTTAAAGTTTTTTATATAGATGTTTTTGTAAATATTTATTTATTTTAAATGTATAAACGTATTATTTTGCGTATTGATATGTGGTTTTTAAGTACTTTAAATATTTTTTTTGTGTATTTTTATGTGTTTTTTTTATGTATTATGTATTTATATATCTTTTTGCTTAATCATGTATTTTTTTTAGTTTTCTTATATAGATGTTTATGTATTTTTTTATGTACATTAAATGTTAAAGTGTATTATTTTTACGTTAAAATATATAAACACATAAAAATAATACAATTAAACATTTAATATACATAAAAATACATAACATCTATATAAGAAAACTAAAAGAATACATAAATACGCAAAAATACATATAAATACATAATACATAAAAAAACACAAAAAATATGTAAAATAGTTTAAAAAAATACATATAAGTACTTAAAACAATAAGTCAATACATTTAAAATACATAAATATACAAAAACATCTATATAAAACACTTAAATGAATACATAAATACGTAATACATAAAAATATGTAAAATACTTAAAAATAGATGTAAATACGTAAAAAATACGTTGATACATTTAAAATACATAAACAACTATATAAAAAGCTTAAAAATATATAAATACGTTAAAATACATAATACACAAAAAATTACACATAAAAATGCATAAAAAATGTAAAATGGTCTAAAATACATATAAATAAGTAAAAAATACGTTTATATATTTAAAAAACATAAAAATACGTAAACGTATACATCTAAAAACATAAAAAATACACAAATACGTAAAAGTTGATATAGATATTTAAAAAAATATGTTTATGCATCATATAAAAATTTTGACGAAATCTGCAAAAAAATCCCGTTATTTTCGAAAAATTAATAATTTGGTCTTATGACCTGCTGAACCGGTCAAAAATGGCTGAAGTGAATAAATTAGCCGGTTTCTTGGGCTTTTGTATTCGAAAGATGAAAAAGCCAGGAATTTTTTATTCAAAAAATAAAATTTAGGACTTTATTAAAAATTTACCCAAAATATTGAAACTTTTCTGGAGATATCCCGTTATATAAACTACGTATTTGCACAATCTGCAGCTATAACAAACATGTGCAATCTAAATAAAGAATATTATTTGTTTTTTTAACATCTGCATACTAATAAAATAAATTAAAATATAATTATTTTATTTATTTATTTATTTTTTATTTTTTATTTTTTTTTTAATTTTCTAGCTTTGTACAAATGATATTTTACAGATTTGATTAAAAAAATATGTGTTTGTATAATGGCCTAATTGGTCTTTTTAACTTTTATGGAGTACACAATCTTGATTTCATGTTTGGATTTGTGAATTTTTTTCTTCATCGCCTTTAATTTCAAAGTTCTACCTTTCACTATACTAAGGTTTGTTAATTTATGGTTCAGCTTCCGGGGCGAACTGACAACGAGATAAAAAACTACTGGAACATTAGATTGAAAAGACTTGTTCGTGCTGGATTACCTATTTACCCTCCTGAAATTCTACGAGAGATCCAACATCGACGCTTCAACACTCAAAATCTAGAACGACCTCCACAAAACCAAATACAGTTTTCTTCATTGTCATCGTTGTCATTGCCACAAAACCCTGATTTCACTTCATTCCTTTCTTCATCATCTTCCTCATTTGAAGAAAACCCACATCAAACAAATACAGCCTCTATTTCAACAATTCAGGAAAACCCTGATTCCAGTTCCATCAACTCCATGTCTTTGATCGAATTAGCAATGAGTTACCCCCTTCTAATTGCTACTTTATACCCCCCTATAAACATGTACAAGTTCAACCTTCATAGTCATAACAATGGTGGAGTCGTGTTGTCACCACCACCCTCTCAACATTTAAAACGTTCGAACTCACCTTATAAACCCGTCTTTGCTGGAAGTCAGCTTGCACCATCTGACATAGATACAGTACAAACGGATGATCCTGTCTTGTCTGAAAACTTTAAAATAATAGAGATCCCTTCAATCCAATCATGCTTTGAAGCAATCACGCCAACTTTTTCTTCGACCAACGGGAGTGATCACTACTTCATTGCGACGTCAAATGGTGAAGACAATCACAACATGGATCCAGACTTATGCTCAGGGAGAAACAGTGGATTGCTACAAGATGTTTTGAGACAACCTACAGCTTTATTGAGCTCCCAGTTACCCTGTAAACAATCTGAAAATGATCAACCAGCTGAAGGAAGATTAATCATGCATGATGATTCCGTTGCGGAAATGAACCACCCAAACAGCACCGATGCGAATTTAGAATCCGGGTTTGGATCAAGTGCTGATGACATGAACCTTGTGGATGACTTCAGCTCTTTCTTTTCATCAAATGGTAAGTTTCCGAGTTCGAGTATGTACTAGTTTTGATGAATCATTAATGGCATGTCATGTATTTGTGATCACATGATTTCTTATGTTGGTAATTTTGTTTAAGATATTGGAGTCCTATCAGAAGTTGATGTGTTTGAAATCTTAAACGAGATGAACGATTTGGTAGACTTCCCAGTAAGTGGACCTCCTCAAGCACTGAGTTTGAGAAGTAATGGCGCATCTACTGAACCAGCCAATGTTTCCGATGGCATCATGACTCCAGCGACGGAAATACAAGGGGAACTTGTGTTTTGTCCGGTTCCTACCACCCAAACTGAGATCGGAGATGGTTGGGCGACAGATGTGTTCTCTCTTATTGAAAACAACCCAGCCGATACAGACGAAGAGTATGCTCAAGAACTTATGGGTTCTCAGATGGCAATCACCCTAATTGAGCAAGAACGTGACTGGGCTCTAGGCTATATGCCTAGCTTTTCCTAAAAATATAGTAGATAAACATCAGGCTTGATAGATATGGCATATATATTAGGGTTTAAATGGTCTATGTTTTGTTTATATTGCTTAATTGTAATCAAGTCATATGAGGATTCTAGATTGCTCTCCTATCTGATTTACTAAGACATTTACATTAGTAGGATTATGATTTATGATATGGTGAGTTTGTGTCATGTGGTTATAAACACATTTCAAACAAAAACAATAACTGGAATCGTTATCTTATTAATGAAGAACTAATTAATCGAAAAATACAAATAAAACTCAAAACTCCATACAAAAACACTCAAACAACTTCACTTAACCTACCTATTAATCAAATTTATCCAATCGATACTAGAACTCCTCTTATTTCTCGTTTTAACCAATGCAATGCCACCCTTTTGATGTCATTAGCCAAGTCTTTAGAACTTATACTCTTGTTATTGAATGCACTCTAATTGCGATAATGCCACACGATCCAAGCTAGAGCATAGATCACAAACTCGACACCCCCTTTGAACTTTGTGATTAGCTCTCGAAGCCTCAACAACCATTAGATCAATAGATCCCACCATGACTGGGATATCTCTCCACCAAAGTGAAAGATGAGCTTTGATCTTTTTTACAAACGTAAAATCCAAAAAAATGAAAGATAAACTCAGTTTCATTGCAATTGTGTCTAGTGGACAAAGAGAAGTAGTCAAATAATTGACACCAATTCTAGCAAGATTATCCTGTCAGAAGTTTACCAAGTCGGGCTCCAAGCAAGAATGCTAGCTATACCCGGTACTATTTGATTCCAATTCGTTTCAGTATGATTACCATCCAAAATGGCTCCATCAATATTTTTTTCGCATATATGACACTATATAAAAACTAGGGTTGTAAACGAACCGAACGTTCAGCGAACTGTTCGTAAACCTTTCGGCAGGATTCACTTATGTTCGTTTATTTAAAAAATGAACGAACATGAACACAAAGTCTCGTTCGTTTAGTTAAATGAACAAACATTAACAAATCTTGTTCATTCAATTATGTTCGTAAACGTTTGTTTATGTTGTTCGTTTACGCTTGTTTATGTTTGTTCACATAAGTTTTTTTTAATGTTCATATATGTTTAAGCGTATTTGATTACATTACCATATTATATGTTTATCTATGTTTATATATGTTTGAATTATGTTTGTTTATCTTTGTTCATTTATGTTCGGTCGTTTATGTTCGTTTAACATGTTCACGAACATAAATGAACAAACATGAACAATGCAATTTGTTAAACGAACGAACATGAACACGAAAACTTATTCGTTTATCCGTTCGTATTCGTTCATTTCTTCGACTAACTTAAACGAAAGAATATGAACAAATTCTATTCGTGTTCGTTTGATTCATTTACAGCCCTAATAATAACCATCACCATTCTTTGCCGAAATCCATTTGGTGTTTTGTTGGCTGAAAAGTTTGTTAAAGTCTACATTAAAACGACTAATAGAGATGTGCAAATGACAAATGACACCACAAGTACTCCCATGAGACACAAGCGCTTTTCTGATGCCATCGTCCATGCTATCTAATTGAATCACTATTTTCCATATCGAACCATTTTCATTCCTAAACGTCCAACACCATTTCCATAACATAACAAGGTTAAACGCTCGCAAGTTTCCAATGTCCAGACCATTTTTTTCCTATAATTAAGAGTTTTTGTAACATCCTAAATTTCAAACCAATATTTTCATTTTAAAAATCAAATTATACATTAAGTTTTAAACATAGTTAAATTACAAAAACTAATGGAAGTCGAATAACATAATAACTTTGATGCGAATGTATACTCCCATTGTGAACTTCACTCTAACAACCTGAAAAACATTATACTTAACAACATAATCATAAAGTTTAGTGAGTTTCTTAGTATAGCATATATTCTGCCACACATACTATGCATAAAAATTAGGCTTTTTTCTTCAAAGCTAATCCACCATCAATCCTTAAAAATAATATCTCAATATACATATCAATCATAGGCATCTTACCACCGTATCACTACAGACTCTTAGCTATCATACAACTGCCCAACTCTCATTCATCATCCAATCACCGACACTTAGTTGTCCCATAATCATACCTAGGCTATTACTAATACTGTTGGTCATCTTATTAATGTATAATCATACATAGTTAATAAGAAGATATGCAGTCGAACATATGATCCTATCCAAAAGCAATATATCAAACTAGAACCATACAATAAGATTATACCTGAGTTCTTAGGATATCCAATCTAAACAACATACAATCCTTACAACATTACTCAACGATCAACTAATACTAATTTACTCAAATGTGAGTTCACCGACGAATCTGATAGCACTAATCTCCAAATAACAACCAACGACTAATCCTTAGTCCAAAACTTATGTCCTTCAAAGTGTGACCTAAATTCAAACTTGTCAAAAGTCAACAGCCATCGGGTCAAGTTAAAGTCAACATGCTGCAACCATCCCTTAGTCAAGTCGTGATCACTAGGCAACAAAATAGTCGCGGATCTGGATCAAGGCTCATATTGAGACATCCTAGTGACCACGTCCCACTTTTCAGAGAAATGGATGACTTTTCCTACAATCCAGAGCTCAAAATTTGATCCTTCTATTGATTAGCATGGATAAGGCTTCCAAATTTATCAATTCCAAAGGATCAATTTATCATGATGTCCAACCCTAACGCTTTAAGGGACCAAAATCACCAGATCTCTCGTATGGAGCAAAAATGTAATGTACAAAATCCCAACTTTCTAGCAATACCAAGGTCCTAGAATACCATAAAAGGGACCAAAATATGTTAACTTTGACTCACAAACTAGATCTAAAGAGAAAATCATTAACGTAGTTGTTGTGGGTTAACATTTAGAGTTCATTGATCGTACCATGAATAGGTGTTATGGGAGTCCTTGGTCTTGTATAAACTAGTAGTTTTATCCAATTTATCAGATAGGTTATTTCATTGGACGAGCCAAGTCCCAAATATGTTTTTGGAAACCTTCTGAGAAAAATGTATTTGTTTCTATAAGGGTAGTCTTTCAAAAACAAAGCTGATATAAAAAAAAAAAATTTGGGGCCACATTAATCTTGATAAGAATCAATAATTAATTAACAAAGATTCTAAAGAAAACACTAGCACTTACTTAGAAGTTACAACCTGTTAAGAAAAATGACATCCCTCTACCTCTTCCACATAGATCTAATAGAAGACGTCATGGACCTTGTTGACTCTATGTCACATAGGAAATGTGTCGCTTATAGATTGTGATCAGAGTCTATCAACTATTGGAAGCTATGGAAGGCCCTACACGTTAAAATTAGATGAAGCTATATGGAATGAGATTCAATATGTGTGTGTTTGAAATTTGAATTGATCCAACACTTAGTGTTTGTAGATCTTCAGAAGATGATAAACATGGATAAGAACACACTTATATTCAAACCAAGATGGGTTGTGCAATATATATATATATATATATATATATATATATATATATATATATATATATATATATATGCTTGATATGTCCATTAATGTAGTCTAATTAGCATCTCATGTTTGGATCGTTTGTTTTAATGAAAAATTCAAAAGTTGAGTTACGAGAAACAAAAGATAGTCCATATAAATGTCAAAGCTAGTGGGAGCGATGTTGTAACTTGTATTGAAATGGGATATGATCTCCTAACTTTGCTAAGTGTAAAAGTTTCACATAGCTTAGGAATTGTCTCGCTATGGTTTATGAGAGGAACAAAAAATCATACTTAGAGTCTATGGAGATAGATCTAAGTGAGTCATTGATTTAACCCAGATACTTGGAATATTGGGGAATATTGAATTGTCTCGCTATGGTTTATGGGAGGAACAAAAAATCATACTTAGAGTCTATGGAGATAGATCTAAGTGAGTCATTGATTTAACCCAGATACTTGGAATATTGGGGAATATTGAAATACATAATTCTTAAAGAGCTCGTGTTAGTACATATAATGACTCATATGCCTTATGCATGAAAAGTCGTATAAGATCATTTTTGGATTTAATCAAAGAATCAAGAATCAATAATATTCATTAGAATCCTAAAAGGACGAAAGAGATAAATTAGCTAGTATGGAAGATATCAATGAAAGAGTTACATTGATGGTGAGTTCCTTACTAACATAGACATTTTCGTTTATCATTCAAAGTTCAAGCTCTTAATAAATAATATTGTATTAGCTTGGAATAGTACTAAGTAATACACCAAAGTGGATTTGATAATAATCTTAGAGTATATTGCAGTTAGTTAAATTAGAGAGACAAACTATGTGAGTAAAAGAAATTCATTAGTAACCCTAATATAATATTCAATCATTGATGGTTCTCTTGAAGTTTCTTATGACTAAAATGTGACTTTACCTCGAGTATAAATCCCAAGTCACATAAGATGAAATGTAAATACTCAGTAAGTACGTTCAAAATTGTGACGACATCATAGTCAACTAAAGAGAATATTGTTGATTCATTCCTTCAAACTAATGTTCTAACCAAGGTTAATAACCTCATTAAGATATAATGACAATAAATTTGCATTTTTATTAGCTTGAGTAACTTATTTTAGTTTGCTTTAATTTAGGAATTGATGCATTTGTGGACATTATTTGATATGGCGATTACTATGTTGAAAACTTAATTAATATTTAATGGAGATCAATCATCTCATTTAGACTATTATTGTGTACCACTTTTGCATGTTTAGAACTACATATAGAATATTAATTTATTCGAACTTCCATAATGGCTCCAACTCTTAGAAGTAAGTAGTGATTTAAGATTGTCATGGAGCATTGGTAGATTGTTCATGGGGATGAACATAGCAAAGTCTGCGACCAATACTCATGAGTAATTTAAATAGAGATTTTAAGGTATTGGAGTAACCCATACTTAGAGATTACTTCATGGATTCTTTCTCAAGCAATTCTAAG